GCAGTCCACATCTGCCTGGATGAGAATAGCCTTTGGGAAGCAATGATTTATGAAATTCAGTGGAGACATATGATTGTGGGAAAATTCAACTACCATCACCTTAAACGAAAAAGGGTTAATATATCTTATAAGTGTGGCTTATGATCGTGCTTTTACTCCATGTCTTGCTAACTTGGTATCGAGCTATCTTGTTTTTTTATTAAATTCATTACCCAGGTTTAATTTAGAAGAAAGCATGCTTGGGAGCAATTTTTTACTGTACCACTACCATCGTATCACTTGAAAATGAATACTTGCTCACAAAGTTACCTTTTTTCATCTTTCGCATTAGCTATCTAGCCTCTAGCGGAGGCGATCGGAAACTGCGTCTATGGGACCTGCGTAACACTCTGCAGCCAGTCATAGACGTGGATGTGCTCTACTCTGGTCCTGTAACCTCACTGGATTTCAGTCAACGCGGCCTCCTTGCAATGGCGTCGGGTTCATTGGTTCAGGTAGGTCAGAATGGGTCAAATTATGGCAATAATTTTGCCACTTTAACCAGAGTTATTCTCATTCGTTAAAGAATGCTTACACTCATTTTATTCAATTGAAAATTATATTTACTGCAACTGTTTTCTAACTTTACATTAGTATTTTGCATTTTTAATTCATGCGCATACAACTTCCTTCCAAATGAGGCCATCGTTTTATATTGCATTCTTGATAGGCTAAGTCTTCTCTTGCGCATAGCCTTATCAGGAACGATGCAGCAAAATTTGATACAGAATTGCTCTTAAAGGCAATTCCGGTTGAAATTTTAAAGTTGCTCTGAAATACACACTCTTCCTAATTGTTTAATTGCTACCCATAACTGCAGAGCTAAGTTGGATTCAAGAAATATCCTCAATTTTGGCTCAAAATAATCTTTACGAGTATCATCAGGAGCTATTCTTGTTGCCTAATTTTCGCATTACTTTCATTTGAGTTTTGCCAAGATTCAAATTTTAGTCTCTTAGGCTTTAGAAAAATACGACACTTGTGACGAGTG